TCTTTCCACTTTCCCTGCAGCTTTACAGATGGCCTTGTGTTCTTTCATTTTTGCAGTTTCTTCTCGGTACAGTTCAACGGCCTCCATGATCCTCTCAGCCTACACAGACGCGGACAAAGGACAGAAGTCACCAGGACACACTCCTCCATCCCAGAACACTGCACCTGGAGGTCCCGATGGGAATCACCAAAGCACTTGGCCCAGTTTAATAAAGATGTGCCAACAGCGTGGCACACTGCATGCAAAGGCATCCTTGGTTCTTTTCTTTTTATTTCTAGGGAGGGACTAAGTGTCCTGACTTCCAGTAAGAATGGAGGTGGACACCTGGGTAGGGCAGCCCCAGGAACAGGTCTACTGAAGGTGCTACTTTCAGGAGACCAAGCTTTCCTTTCTAGAAGGCAAACAGGTGCAGCAACCCCTGTCCTTCTTACAAAGAAGGAAAATGGGTTTTGGCCTCCCTATAAATTTAATCAATCTTTTTTTTTTTTTTTTTTTTTGCCACAAAAGACTATTTGGTTGATAAAGACTTTTACTAAAGAGTCCAGATCCTATGAAAAAATGAGGTACTACATTCTATATCAACTTACTGCTTTGACTGTTTCAATAGTTTTCTTTCCAGTAAAGTAATTTTCTCCTTGAGTCTCCCCTGGAACCTGCCAGAAAACAGAGAGATCCTTGAATAATACTGTTGACAAGCATTAAAGAGCCAATGAGCCAGTAAGTTAACCTACTGTCCCTAAAAGCACAGGTACTATGGTTTCATAACAACACTGGTCATCAGCTGAGGACTGAAAAAGGGCCAGACACCATGTTGAGTATTTTACATGTATTATTATAAGAATATTTTTCTCTACAAATGTTTTAAAATAACACCCAACTTCTCAATTTTTCCTGATTTTAAATTTTGTTCTAGTGAAATTCTTCCCTGAAGTCTCCTAAAAAAAAAAAAAAAAAAAGCCAGAATACAGTTGACTGAAAGGACTATGCATAATCTGTCTCACCTCAGCTGGTGAGGACCTCGGCATCTGCCCCAGTTGTAAGTCCCTCAGAAACTCTTGAAATTAGGCTAAATTCCAGTAAGATAATTACAGGCACAATCCCAGGATCCCAAGTTTACTTACTGCTGGCTGGTCTTCTTTGGCCACACTCTCCTCATATTCTGCTTCCCTTTGCTGCCAAGAGAGAGACAGAAATTAATCGGAAGGAAGAAACATGGTCTCTATGCAAAGTGAAATGAGGAGGAGACAGCGAGGAGCTGCTGCTTTAAAGTCTAATCCCGGTGGCCTCGCCTCTGCCCGGCTGCTGAACGGTGGCAGTTGTCGTGGGAACTTGCACTGCCTGAGGGGTGCCTAAACCAGACAGAGAACTTGGGTGGGGATAGCGTGTCAGACACCCATCAGCGCATTTGTAACCAGGCCCAAGTCCTTACCATTTCCCTCTCCTCCTCAAGAATAAGAGGCTCCCTTGTTCTCTCCCAAAGTCTCAGAGATTTGTCATGGGACGATGACACGACATAGTCTCCATTGGGGCTTACAGCCAAGCACCATATCTCCTGGTGGTGCCCCTGGAGAGAGGAAAAACAAACCCCCAACCGGCAGTCAGAATGTTACTCACAGACAGCTACCTGCTCACATTAGGGCAGCCAGCACTCAGTCTTTGAAGTACTTCAGTCCCAAGCCAGGACGCAGGCGGATTACCTCCAGAGTCTGTATGTGCTCAAAGTTGTCCGCGTCCCATTGCTTGATCTTCCTGTCTTTCCCGGCGGTGAAGAAGAGGTGAGACTTGGGGACAAACTGTAGGTACATCACACTGAAAGGCGAGAAAAGTATTCAAATGTCATCCAAGTCCACATTATTAAGAGTCTTACATACATCAATAGCTTTTGAATAGTACTAGAGTGTCTTACTTATACTTTAGAATTTTAAATGTATGACGATCTGAGACACTAAACATAGACACATGCTCAAGGGAGATGGTACAGGTAACTGAAAGGAAGTCTCTGAAAAGACTGCGCCCACCTGTCGTCGTGTGCAAAGAGAGACTTGTGGCAGTCCCCGAAGTCCAAACCCCAGATTTTCACATTCCTGTCAGCAGAGCCGGTTGCTATCAGTGCTCCGTCCTATGAGGAAAGAGGAAACACATCGCTTCACTTGATTATCCGACTCTGAAAAGTAGAGAAGGACAAGCTACCAGAACACTTAACCCATTCTCCCCAAAACATGAAAATCAATGCCAAGAAAGCAACCCCATTTCTCTACCAAGAGCACCTAACTTTGCCTTTATCCGCAAACCTACTTAAAAGCTTGTCAAACAAAAGCTTCAATGTTTCTGCACGGAGGGCCGTGTTGTGCCTTGATGGAGATTGTCTATTGACCTGTTAAGTAGGTAGGAAAAAGAACCTCTAATCTGCTACAGAATTTGGGCGAAGAGAGGGAGAGAGAAGGAAAGAATGAGAGAAGAATCTACTAGAATGTTGGGACCTCACCTTTTGTCCCATGTTCCTTATCACATTTCTCTCTCCTCTTCCTATTTCAATGCCTAGCTCAAATGGCTGTTAACAAGAAAATCGGAAATCTTTTTCAGCACCAACTTGTTCTGTTAACTCGCTGATCACTCAAGCACAGGCCCACGCCTTTCATACCGACTGGATGTTGTTTTTAAGTATATATCGCCACCCCTAATCACAACTAGATATTGCAAAGATAAAAATTTGGTCAAGAGACTAAGTTTACAGAGTGGAAAATACCTGGATATCCACATAAGAAAGCTAAGGCCCATCTTCCTTACCTGCTTTCAAAGCAAAGGGGGTGCCTTTTTAAAGTCTTTCATATGTTAGGGTGCTCTATCAATTATAGTATTTTACACAAAATATTATTAGAGGAATCCACAATAGGGAGCTAGTTATGAGGATTTGTGAAAATGTTCTGAAAACATTAAGTATCATATATATATATAAAACATTAAGTATCATATAAAGTATGATTATAATATATATTATTTTGCTTTTGGGTCAGGGGGAGATATACAACAGAATGAAAAAATAAATATTGTAAAATGTCCTATCAAGCCAAGAACTAAGAAAATGTTTTAGAAAAATAACTTGTTACTGAGATACTATTTAAATTTTACTTACATAAGAGATGTCCATGCATATAACAGGCAGTTTGTGTCCATACAGTGAGAGAAAAAACTAAACATAAAAAAGAATATAAATAATTCATGTTTGTCTATAAAATACAGGCATAATTTATTACATTACTCTAAATTATAACTTCAAAACCCCTTGCTAGCACTGTCTGGGTCACTTTATGTGTTTATTCTCAAAAGCAAACCCCTGCTGGCAGCCGCACCCGTCTCGCTTCATACCCAGCATGCCCTTGCCAAGGACAGGGCAGCACAGTGGAGCGGGAGGCCTGGAAGCCTCCTGCCTCCCTTGCACACAGCAGAGACAGTCTCTGGATCGCTCAGCTGGAGAGACCCTGGGGCACTTCACACCATTTCCAGGTTCAACGCAGTCCCACCAACCCTGCGGGTAGGGCTCTGCGGGTAGGGCCCAGTAAACTGTATTGTTAAAGCAACACAAAGACCCTGATATAAAGCCAAGTGTGGAATCACTGCCCAGGACACCCAGCAACGCCCCTGAAACTACCGGCTAGGACAGGATTTTCTGAACATATGCAATATAACTTGCTTTAACAAAAGCTATAAACAGGAAGACTCTTCTAAAACTCTTGGCTTTCCTAGGGCACCTACAATGTTTGATCCACATACAAGTTTTTAGAAATACGCTCCTGCTGGGGACTCAACGCCACTTCTTTTTCTTTTTTAAAATGTATTTTTATTGATTTCAGAGAGGAAGGGAGGAGATAAACATCAATGATGAGAGAAAGTCATTGATTGGTTGCCTCCTGCACGCCTCCCATTGGGGCTCGAGCCTGAAACCCAGGTATGTGCCCTGACTGGGAATAGAACCATGACCTCCTGGTTCATAGGTCAACGCTCAACCACTGAGCCACAACTGGCCGGGCACAAGGCCACATTTTTTTAAATATACATATTATATTGATTTTTCAGAGAGAGGAAGAGAGAGGGATAGTTAGAAACATTGATGAGAGAGAAACATCGATCAGCTGCCTCCTGCACACCCTCTTACTAGGGATATGCCCGCAACCAAGGTACATGCCCTTGACCGGAATTGAACCTGGGACCCTTCAGTCTGCACAGGCTGATGCTCTATCCACCGAGCCAAACTGGTCAGGGCACAAGGCCACTTCTTTACGATCTCCACCCAGGCCAGTCAGAAAGGAAGAAAGGCATGACCACGGTACCTTTAAGGTGTCGACATAGAAAATCTTCACAGTGCAGTCCAGCAAAGACACAGCCAACAGGTTCTGATGGGGTGAGTACCTGACACTCAGAACTTCTTCATCCAGCTGCAGGGTTCGGGTTTGCTTCACAGAAAGCCTAGCATCACAGAAATCATCCAGAAAAAAACATTGAGTACCTTACAAAGGCAGACGAAAGTGCCAAAAAACTCTGGAGCTAAAGAGAAATACTCAAAAGTCCATTCAGTGAGTCCCCACTTTCAGTCCAAGAAATGGAGGAAAATAAAAAATGTCTACTCACCTCTTCTGGGTACTATTTTCATCTTTCACCAACTCAAAATCCCAGAACTTGACAGCCTTATCTGCACCACCTGTCACAAAGCCACGCTGAAAACCAAATGACATCCCAATTAGAATTTTAGCACAGAAACCTGGATAAGATACCAAAATAGTATAAAGACCATTTGTCTTCAATGGCATGAGATAAGAACTAAATGTGGTTTCTAACTCCTTTACTCTCTTTAGGGGCTGCTGCTTCAGACCGTATTTGAGAATTCCTAGTGACACAAATGACAGATGACAACTAGTGGAAAGTCCTAGTTATACTTCCGTTCGGCATCAGGAGGAAAGACGCAGTGAGCGTTGGGGGCTTGTACTCCACCTGAGAAGGCAACAGTCTAAGGAATCTGCTACTAAGTAGTAAAGCAGTTCCACAGATAAACAGACTGGATCACCTAAATAAGTTTGTTCACAGTATTCACCTAAGAGCATAAATGTATCCCTACAATATCTCTGCTTAAAATGTTAAAATCACTTCCCAATATCAAGACAATTAGCCTTGTCACATTGCAGAGCTGGTCTAGTGCCCAGAACACAAAGGTACAAACAATTTCAAGCATCTGGTCGGCCAATTCAGAGATCTGTAACAGGAAACAACTTTACAGACGATTACTGTTGCCATGGTGATAAAGACCACCTAGTTTACAAAGTCATCGCAAAAATAACAATCATCTGCATAATGGATGTGAAAATATTTTGGAAGAGATAGACGACGGCACAAATGCAAGATGGTTAACCATTTAAAATTTACATGCTGCTGCTGCCTTCTGACTCCAACAGCATTACCTACTCTAAAATCCAGATTCATGCCGAACCGGTTTGGCTCAGTGGATAGAGCATCGGCCTGTGAACTCAAGGGCCCCGGGTTCGATTCCGGTCAAGGGCATGTACCCTGGTTGCGGGCACATCCCCAGTGGGGGGCATGCAGGAGGCAGCTGATCGCTCTCTCTCATCAATGTTTCTAACTCTCTATCCCTCTTCTTTCTTCTCTGTAAATAATCAATAAAATATATTTAAAAAATAAATAAAAAAAATAAAATCCAGATTCAGTGTTTTCCAAAAATGCCTACATTCAATGAATGAAGGTTCACCACCACTCAGAATATGCAAATGAATGGGCCACAATCTCTTAAGGTATTTTAAAATAATACCTCACAATGTTCTGAGCCACTGCACCTCCTGGAGGGTGATGCCTCTGAAGGAAGCCCACCGTGAATGACTCGTAAGGGCCAACTTATCTGCTAAAGCACTAGACTCAGTCACAGATGAATGGACTACGGGGAGGAGAGCCTGCTCTGCCCTCTGCACTGCGCTGCCCAAGGAACTGTCTTCTTAAGAAGCATCATAAAGCACTGGCAGAAAACCAGGAAGGTAAGGAATGTGATGACATGTAACTGATGACTGAGAGCAGCTGAATAAGGACTCATTTCACAATGACAGGTAGAACATCACACAGGAAATCGAAAGATTAGATTAAACATGCTTTCTTTAAAGAAACCCTGAGAGAAATCTATTAGGCAGCAGTGAAACCTGGCGGAAGAGATGGGAGATGCAGCAGAGTCCTGACGTCCTGATGTGAACATCTGTACGTTACCTGGTCTGGAGAGAGAGACATGGACCACAGAGCCCCATCATGGGCATCCACGGTCTCCAGCAGCGTCCCCGAGGCCAAGTCATACAGCTGCAGGCGTCCTGTCTGTGGGCGACAGAACGAGCACAGCTGAGGAGCACACCCACTACTCCTCCCTGCGCGGGGCAGGAAAGACTTCACCACCAAGCAGCAACACTGCGGCTGCTTGGAAATGGGCTTCACGCCCATGCTTGTACTGCTACCCAAGTCAACGCAATGAAACCCCTGCTGACGTGCGGAGTTAACCCTGGCAGGGTGGCTATTCCTGTAGTACTCCTGCCATTTTCATTGGTTCCCATCTTCAAAAGATACACATCATGGCCACAGGCCAATCAGAATAACCCTAACAGCACATGGCAAACCTGGAATCAGTCCTGTAAGTGGACTAGGTCTGTGGTAACTGGCTTAACCAACCCTTCCCCATCTAGCCTTGGTTTCCTCTCTACCCTACACTGACAATCTACCTACCATGCTAGGATGAGCGATGAACCTAAAAACATCGTAGCAGCTTAGAAAACATCGGCCATGCTTGCTCAGGACCCTGTGTAAGCCACGGCCACAGTGCCAATAGGGACCACATACAGCGGCAAAATCTGCTCTGAGCTTCTGCATGCCCAGTGGGAAGAGCATGAGGTGGAGACTGGAGTCCCAGGGCTGCCTCTTTCCAACTCAGTGACTGTTGGTGAAGTCATCTTTATGGGCCCGTTTTTTAAATCTGTCAAAGCCCACCTTTCTACACTGTTGTGGGGATTCAGTGAGATAATGTACATTATCTGCCTAGCACAGAGGCTAGGCTAGGGGTTGTATTTTAGTCATACAGGTAGCCTTGAAAGCCATTTGCAAAATTGTCTCTCAACAGCAAATGGCAGATGAATATTTGTTAGAAGAATGAAAAATGAGGGA